TCTGTGGGTAGCATCTAAATAAAACTTGAGCGTTGTACTTTTTTTTCCCTTTCTTACCTAGAAAGTGTTATTGACTGTGATGTTAAGTACCAGATACTATCTCCTCTACTGGAGATCCGCTGGCCCTCTGAAGTGCCAGTCCTGGGGGTGAGGAGAGGGGCTGTAATTTGGCCATGGAAGTCCATGTAGTTTTAAGCTAGTGGAGAAATTCCCACTTTATTTTTAGGACTTGTATACACACTGTTCTGTACACAACTTAAAGTCCAAGTAATTGAATGATCTTTTGTATAAAGATGCTTACAACAGAATTTATTTTCTTTTGCGTTTTAAGTGAGCAGTCTGAAACAGTACTTGATTCGAGTGATATTTTTCATCTTTATGTTGTAGATCTATGATAAAGAACCTCTTTCTTTCAGGTTTGCAGAAGGTTGGGAATTATAGAAGTTGATTACTTTGGACTGCAGTTCACTGGCAGCAAAGGGGAGAATCTGTGGCTGAATTTGAGGAACAGGATCTCACAGCAGATGGATGGTTTAGCCCCTTATCGATTGAAATTAAGAGTCAAGTTTTTTGTAGAGCCACATCTTATCTTACAAGAACAGACAAGGTAAGGTAAAGATAGGTGTAAGTAGATTTATTACTTTGTTTTCAATTTCTGTAACTTATGAAAGTGGTTACACACTGGTTTTATTTCTCCTGTCTTTTGGTAATCTTAGCTTGACTTCTGTGTAGTTCTAAAACCTTAGTGTTAATTTAAATGTATTGTTCCTTTTAAAAAGAAAAAAAAAGTTGGTAATGTTGTAAGTATTGTATAGCTAACAGTAAGTAATGGCTGTAGATAATTCCATGAGCACTAGTGGATGAAACTAAGCTACCAGTAGCAAATTATTTATATGGTATTTGCATGTCCGATAGTAACCCCAGTTCAATGGTGTTACTCTAGGTCATTCTAAACCAGTGGTACAGAAAGGCAGGAAATAATTCCTCCCACAGAGCAAAAAAACTTGCTGAGTTTCTTTTTGTCTGGTTTTATGTTACAGTAACTTTCAAATAGCTACAGGCCTTTTGAGGCTGCAAAAGAAACAGCTGTTTTCCTTCTGTGGCCAGTCCTCTTAAGTAAATTGTTATACTGTCAGCCAATTGTAAGAATTAGTCTTCTAAGATTAGTAGTGAACACTTGATTTTACTCCTTGAGTTTGGCTCACTTTAACTTGGTACTTTCATAATTAAGACCATGGATACAACAGGCTTGTTCTGCACAGAATATTTGTATGAGAATTTGGTCAGAGGCCAACAGCATGATTTGGTGTTTCTTTCATAGAAAAAAGGTCTTAAGTTAGGAACTTGCATATATTGTTCTATCTTTTTGAACTAATGTGCAGGGGAGAGGCTTTTTGGGGAGCTGTGGGTTCAGCTTATCAGTTTGATTCAAGTATTCAGAATGCCATGGAATTACACCATAGTTGTCTTATGTGATAGCTTCAGTTAGGCAAATACATTCTAACCAAGTAACAGCTTTGATGTACCTTATTTTGGAAAAATAAATTTGCATATTCATGGCATATATTTGGGTTCTTCTGGAGTAGTTTCCTTAAAGAAACTTACCCTCTTAAATTAAGTGTCCTCAGTGGAATAAGTACAAACTACATAATGAAGGATTTTTACGTAGAACAGAAGGAGCAACACAGTTATGCATCTGATGAGGCAGAAGGGTTGACCCTGAGCATGTTGGATGTATCTCCATGCACAGACCAAATCGGGATGAATCTGAGGAAACCTGAAGCTGATATGATTGGTGGTTTTCTGCTATTGTTGATGAATGTTCGTTCCACTTGACAAGGTTTTTGCAGACACCCGTGTTCCTGCCTTCAACACTCAGTGCATGATTTGGCAAGTTGTGCAAGCTAATAAAGGGCTTGAACTGGTAAAACACACCCCAGGGGCCTAAAAGGCAGATTGTACAGATAGGGTGTAACAGCTTGTATACCTACATCAAAGTAGCAAGTACTTCACTGCAAAAATTACTCTAAAATGTTGTAGTTGAGACAATCTTTTTTCATGTATGAATTAAGACTATTCAAAAACTAATATTTTTAGCAAACTATTTTAAAATTAAATGAGGCCCAGCCATCAGATGAGAACTATTAAAATTCTGTTCTGGAAATAATTACTTAAATTTTGGAGTGCAACAGGTGTTGAAGCTAGTATTTAATGTCACTGTCTTGCAAATGTTAATGCTCCTGAGGCTTCAGCTAAGCTGTTCAGTCTACATCCTGAGTATTCTTAGTGTTCTTGCTAAAAACAAATACAAATTGTGAAATAGCTTGCAACTAGTTAGCTTCCTCTTAGTTGTGTATGCCTACTGCTTATGTAGTAGGCCTAGAATTCCATGGTGCCTGTGGTTAATGTATGTTTCTGTAGTGTTGAAACCGAGTTTCAGTAGATTTACTCTTTTTTTTCTCTACTCTGATTGAGGATTTACGTATGCATGTAAGTGCATTCGTCCTTAGTTTGCGTGCAAGCCTGTGTGATGTCAAGGAGAAGACAAAAAACTTGTTAAACCTGTCACTGAACTTTAAATCAACAGATGTAGAATAGAATTGGGATTAGCTGTACAGTTACAGCTGGAACCTTGGTTTTTATCTTTACTTGCCAAGTCAGTGTGCTGTTTGACTGAAAAACAGTGCTGGGGTATCCTTGGTTTACCTTAGTGGTTATGTCTACAACTGATGTGTAGAGTGACCCTGGCAGAGCTGTTGCCTTCTGATCTCCTGTGTGGAGAACGCTGAGCAAGTCTCACGCTCTTTTACTTGCTGCCTCTGATGCAGTTTTTACATATAAATTAAATGCATGTTAAGACTGCTTTTGAAATCTGGGAAGCTGCAAGCAATTCGAAATGTTGTTGCTATGCTTCACCATTATTCTTGTGGTTGTTGTGACTGAGTTGTAACCTGTTTTTTCTCTCTACTTTGGAAGCTTTTTCAATCCTAGTTGTACTGCTTCATTTTAGAGATTCTTGTTTTGCACTTAAATTTACAACTCAGGTGTATGTTTGTAGCAATTCAATGTTCAGGTTTCTACGTGCTGTGTAAAAAGCTGATCTGGCAACTGAACATCAGCCTCTGCCTGTTATCTGTAATCTGTGTGTAATCCAGTGGAAGATCACAACCTTATGCATTTTAATCCCCTTATGCAAGGGGGCCTCCTTGCAGGCAGAACAGGTTATAATTGTAACTTCAACCACTCTGTGGATAGGATATTTGCATGGAAAAAACCCTTATTATTACACTTTCTTTCCTTTTACAGGGTTAAAAGTGCCTTTATTTCTGTTGTCTTTTGGATCTGAACTTGTAATTTTTTGGCTGACTGAAACGATTTCACCACAGGATTTTGTAGTTTAGAATTGTTTTCAGTGCAATGAAAGTGCTTCGGTGCAAGAGTGCTATTCAAATTTAATCTGCTGCTGTCAACTGGAGTTCTACAAACAAGGCTGAAACGTGGACAGTGTGCGTGTTTAGAGGAGTTTGAATAACTATAGATTTGAGTGGAAAATCACATTGGCTTGAAAAGGACTACAGTATTTTTGGTTAAATATATGAGATGGTCCAGGCTCTGGCTATGCCATGTTTGTTTCTACTGTTTTCTGTATTTGTTGATGGATAATGCAACAGTTAGTAAAAAAAAAAAAGTTAAAAGTAAGGGTTTTATGAGAATTTACAACCCCCCTAGGGGTTTTTCTACCCTCTGCCACAGTAGGGGTGGTTCTTGTGTTGACTTTTATGAAGCACTGAATTACAGCAAGGAGGTGGGACTCGGGGAAGGTGGTGTACTTCACCGACGGGAACTTTCAGGGGACTTTTTGACGGGGGAGAGCACGGGGTCGGGGTTGCGGTGGTTCCGCCTGGCGGGGGGTGCCCCGAGGGCGGCGTTGGCGGCAGTGGGGTGCGGCCGGGCTGCGCGCCCCGCCGGGGAAGCGGCGCGGTGTAACTCCAGGTCACCGACCGGGAGTAACCTCGGCGCGCGGCAGGGCGGGCGAATCGGCGGCGACGCCGCTGGGGCAGGGCCCAGCAGCCAGGGGAGCTCAGCTCCTGATTGGCCCGCACCTCTGTTTCGGGGCAGAAACTTGAGCTGCTCGCGCTGGAGCTGAGGTCTGTGTGGAACGGGGAGCGGAGACGTCTTGAAACTTGCGTCCACCGTAACCGTGCGAGCGCTTGCCGAGCCGCACAAGAGGCGGGTTGCGCCCCGTGGTCGTCCGGGAGAACGAGGGTTTTAACGATAACGTCAACATTGCAGCCATCGCGCTGAAGTAGAAATAATTAAGTGAATAGATTCTTGAGCAGTGCAAGAATTACCTAGGTGTACTTAAAAATGGGCAGAGTTATTTGACTTGTGTAATATGAGCGAAAATATTTATATGTAAGTCATGATAATTTAAAATAACGTGTCAGTTTCTAACTAGCCAAACAATCTCATGAAGCATTCAAAATAGAATTAAGATAGCCTTAAGATAGATAATTACTGTTTTGGAAGTTGTTGAAAGTTGTGTGTGAAATTTCCCAGTTCTTGAATTATATTTACAAAGTACATTGTTTCTGCAGTGTTATCTACATTTATTGTTGAATTAGTTAAGAACTGGCTTGTAAAATATATTGAGCAGTTACATACTTGTAATAGGTAGAAAGTAAGAAACACATCCTATTATCCTATGATATTGTCTAGCCAGTGCAGTAGTGTCATGGTATTTCTTAGCATGCAATAAAACGGTCTGCTGTAAAAGACACCAGGGTGAGTTTAGTGGATCTGTTTGTCTGAATCAGAGTTGAGTTGCAGTTGGTAACCTTTCACCCACTCTGCTGAGAGCCAGTAAGAACACAATACTGAGGAACATGATTGTAACTAGGATGGCTTCGCTTTTTCATATGGAGTGGCTAGTGGCTTTACATCTGCTTTTAATAATAGAATCATATTCTATTGCAAAGAGATCTCTATCAATATCTTTTTAGGGAGGACAATGATACCTCTTAATTTTGATTCTTTTAGACTACAGGGAGTTGTAACTTTACTTCACAGTGGGAAAGAGCCTTATCTTCTTGTGTAAAGAGTGTTGTGCCCCAAAGAGAACAGACAGTTCCTTGGGACATAGGCTAAGATTCTTGCCAGTGGCCTGGCAAGAGAATGAGTTCTTTTGGTTATATTTCTAGTTTAGGAATCACTAGTCATATACAGATACTTTCATTGGCTAAGGATTGGGGTTTGTCACTTTTTTCCACTGGCGGCTAAGTTTGGAGCTTAAAACTTTTAATATAGTTTTCAGATTTGTATTTGCTCTGTTTTCTTTTCCTTGATTAAAGTAGTAGAAACAAAGTTTTCAGTGTAGAACTTTGAATCCTGATGCACATAATTGTCTTCAATGAATTAAGAAAGAATTTTTTTATTATGTGTACACTCCTCATAGCACTTATTTTGTGGGACTGTTATTGCCAATTCGTTGGCAATAACTAAGTGATTTAATTGTAGTGAAATACATCCATTTCTGGTAGTTGTGTTCAGTATAGTCAGCTGGCATAAATCACTTCAGAGGGAGGCAAAAAGTAATTGATGTGATATCTAGGTTTGTGACTTCAGCTTGGTAGCTCTAGTTTTGTGTAAAATTGACCATCTGCTGAAAAATCTCCTTGCAGCCTCTTTCTGCAGCATTTGTATCAAATTATTTATGTGCAACTAAAATACATGACTCAAACTGTACTTTCTATTTTACTGAGTGTTTTAATATGCACATAGAATTTAAATTGTATGGAAAGCACTGGGATAAAAATAAGGATACAAAATTAATATAAAATTACCCGTGTAACTAGTGCTTGAAGAAAGCATGTGATCCTGTTCTAAGTCTAAAACTGCTTTTTCTTCCTTTGGAAAGGAAGAAATTTTGCCTGGGCAGTGACTAATGAAGTATAGCTTTGGCAAGTTTGATGCTTTGTCCTCTAATCAGTATTTCTATGTACTGTTTTGAACTGTCAGACTCAAAGGAAATGTTCTATAATAGAATATACAGGAATAGCTAGCTAGCATGAATTTTGGAGGAGGGGGAAACTAATGCTGGTTTAGATTATATAGACTGTCTTTCGAACTAATGGTGTCATATATAGAACTTGGACTACGTATGCAGTAGCAACTTCTGTTTGTTCTTAAAACTACCACTAGTTGTTCAGTGTCCCAACATGTTTGGCAGATGTTAAGATGACTAGGAGCTACAATAATTGATTGGTGAAGCTCAAGAGTTGTGAAGACTTCTTTTCTATGAAGATCTGAAGGCGAAATGAAACTTCGGCAAGAGTAGTAACAAAGCTGCAGAATGTCCTAAGATAAAATTGGGGAGGAGGGACAGGAGTGTTAGGAAATACACAATACTGTCTTGTGTTACTTGTCAAATTTATAACAGGTCTGTTATATATAACTGAAGCGGTGAATGATGCAGAAACAAAACCAGTTGGTTTCTTATATGGTGGTCAAGCTAACACATTCTACCAGTGGTGGTGTGAATGTAACCTTTAGAGGACTTCAGTTATAAACAGGTCCGTTTTCAGTTTTGAAATAGTTAATTGTTTTAAAATTTGCTTGGCAAAAATTCCATTAACCATAAAACACTAACAATGAAATAGTTCCTTGAAAAACCGAGTACCCTGTTACTGTACAAACTGGGTCTCTTTAGAGGCGGGGAAAAGCTTTAACAATTTTTTTTAATTGTATCTAGATATTCCTGGAGAGAGGTGGAACAGTGGATTAAGTCCTATTAAGTGATTAGGTCACAATCTAATTTACAAAAACTTACTTAAATAGTTTATAGTAACTAATGGAATCTGTAATATGGCCAGGTTTTTTACAGATGGTCTGCTGGGTCCTTTAAACTGCAGAATTAGATAAGGAACTGCCTTAAGGATCTTAATGCTTTAGCTTTGCTTGACTGTATTCAGCAATAAAAGGACATTGTTTTGCCTTTCTGTTAAGGATCAAAAGACTTTTTTTCAGTTTTGTGCAAAAAGAAAAATCTGCTTTTATAATCAGATTCTGGCTGGTGTCACGTTCTGAACCTTGAAGGGGGATGATTTTGCAGTAGATTATTAATAGAGCTTTGGAGATGTGCAATCTTAGGCTGGATGGGCTATTTATAATCTGCATTAAGGAGAATCACTTTTTCAGATGTATAGAATGTTTGCAGCCCTCACTGTCTTCCAATTTCTAGATGCTGTTCTTCCCTCAAACACAATAAAAGACTCGAAATTAAAAAGAAAAAAAAAAAGACCAGCCCCAAAACTAACCACAACAGTGACTTTGGTATTTGAACTTTGGTTCAGGGCAGCTGCTGTAGCAGAAGTCATTCACTGTCATTCAGAAACTAGTTTCATTGGTAAGCTCTACGTAACTGGTTTCTGACCTGTTTTGGGTGCAGTTTTGGCAATGGTTTGGGCTTGCAATGAATTTTTTAGGTGCAGACCAATGACTTTTGTGTGATGGACTGTCAAGTATGGGTGGTGTTCTGTTTTCTCTGACTCAATAAAATAGCTTACCATAGTGTAAGTGGGGACGTGAACTTGTGTAACTTTAGTTCTTTTACAATAACTGTCCCTTTTTATCAGAAAAATGCAAAGTAGCTTGTCTCTGACATGTGATAGGAGCCCATTTATGGGAAGTTACTGCATATTAGCTGATGTGATGCTATTTCAGATTGTATCTTTAACTTATTTGTCTTTGCCATTACTGACTTTGTAGGTGTGGAATGTGACAAGCCATGCCTCTGCTGTAGTTGTTTCTGTAATGCATCTGTATTTGCAGGAACAATCTTTTGTTTTTCAGCTCCCCTCTTGATGTCAGTGAAGTCTTCCAGCAAGGGGAGAAGCCTGACTATTCCCTGTGCAGTCATATGCATAAAATAAACTGAAGATGAAGGTGTGGTAGTTGTAGACACATGTCAGCTAATGAGAATAATATTGTCAGATACTTCTTTGAAATACTGTATGTGTAATTAGTATGTAGTTATAATGACTGGAAAACCTGTTTTGGTATTAACAGAGGATCAGAAGTGCATGAAAAGTCATTTATTATATGAAATGTTGATTGGAATTAGAGAAATGCTTACTATTTTAATTTATTTTGGCTGTAGTGTTTTAGTATTTAATCAAATACTTTGTCTGGATTTATAGACTGAGCCCCAAAAGGTGTGTACAATCTGTGCATCTTCAAAACCACAGATACGCCTTTCTGTGGCCCAAGCAAGCCAAAAGTTATGAGTTAGCAAGGTTATGGATTAGAAAGGAATTGGAGCAGAAGTTTGGGACTTTCTCCAAGAAAAGCCTAATAAACTAATAGCCTGTTAACAGTGCTGACAACTGTACTTTCTGAAGGTTTGGTCCTCTTGACACCTAAATTTGTCCTTCACAGAGTGAGGAGATTAGTTTCCACCAGACCACCACTAGAACTACTGACGTATAAATGGATGTCTAGACACCAGGGTGATGCAATTAAGCACTTGTCACAACTGCAATGAAGTTTTAGCATGCCTCAAACTGCTTGTAGAGGGAGGTGTTGGAGCTGTGACTTGCTGCAGGAAATGGACTGTAGGGCAGCTTATGGGATAACTTAGTACCTATTTTTTTCCTGATTGTAAAAGTTATGGATATGGAGCATATTTTGGGCCAGTATTTTCTTAGCTGCAGCATTTGCTACAGTAGAGCTAAGAATTAATGTAAACTTTGCAAGTTACGTAATTTATTATAGTGCTGAAAATGTTGCTCTGTTTGCCCTGTTGTACAATTGAATTGTAGGGCGCTACAACAGGATATAGGTAAGATACTATCCAAAATTCCTTTTGGAAGGAAGCTAATAACTTCCTAGCATCTTGAACTTGTGATGAGTGATTCAGTATAGCTTTTTAAGAAAAGCAGATTACATCTAATTTTAGGAAAGTTAACGTCCCATTGCTGTGGAAGCTAAGATGTATCCCTGTGGGTACTTGACTTCATCTATTGAAAGTTTTTTTTCTCTGTGATATGTAACTACTTTTGCATCTGGTTTCCATATATATTGAGTCTTAAGAACAAATGCTAAGAAATTTTTATTGTCTTCCCTGAGGGGAGATAGAGATGAATTTATGGAAGTTAAGGTATCCTGTAGGGGAAATTAACAGGCTGCTGTTAGTGTTGGACAGTTTGATTTGTCTAATTAACTCGCCTATTAGATAATTAAGAGCAGCTTTGTGAATTTTTCAACTAGTTGTCAAACCTGCTTTGTTCTCAAGTGAAAAGGTTGGTCAGAGAGAGATGCTTACACAGTAGATGTTGTTGTATTTTATTCCACAGTGCCTTTTCAGGTTAATTTGTTAATCACATCACTGGCAAAAGCACCATCTTCCCTTTGACTGTGATGCTAGAGGCATTTCCACGGTGTGGAGAAAGTATGGCGTCTCCTATTGCATGATAGATGCGTATGCTGTTTTGGGCTGCTTTTCCCAAATTTGCTTTTGTGAAATGCAGAGTAACTGATAAATGGCAACCAAACAAATTTAAACCTAGGTAACTAATCCAAATCTATTTCATTGATATTTTACTCACTAAATTGAAATTATTAATTGGCCTTAGGAGTTAAAGCAGTTCTTGTTCTTTAATAGTGCATCTTCAGTTGTAGCTTCATCTCTAAGTGCAAGTGGATAAGATCTTTCCCTTGTGTCAGACTTTCTTGGTACATTTACTGCAAATTCTTGATTACTGAACTAATGGTTACCAAACATGAGTTGATACACGTATGTTGAGTACAAACATCTTTTAACATTTTGTGTAAGCAAACATTTCAATTCTGTTGCAGGCATATGTTTTTCTTGCATATAAAAGAAGATCTTCTCGCTGGTAATCTTCAGTGTTCTTCAGAGCATGCAATTGAACTTAGTGCATTGTTAGCACAGATGAAGTTTGGAGATTATAACCAGAACACTGCCAAGTACAATTATGAAGAGCTGTGTGCAAAAGAGCTCACCACTACCATTTTGGAAAGGTAAAGCACACAATGTAACCTCCGTTTGGGATTCCAAAAGCATAAATTTTTGTTATGCCCTTAAGACACACTATAGCATGAGCAATTACATCGTTAAAAAAAAATTACTAAATAGCTTTGGAGATCAAAATACAACCTGAATATTTAACTGGTGTTCTGATTTCAGTTAATTTTTAAGCTCAATTATAAGTTCTGGGTTTGTTTTGTTTGTTTGTTTTGTGAAAAGCAAAAGTTGTTGAACTCTGGTACATGGGGTAATAGAGGTTACCTAAATACTTGGAGCGGGGTAATCAAATTGCAAGTATGTCTTAAACCTACACTTCTGAAAGAACAAAAGAAGAATTTATTTGGCTTAGTACCCTAACACTGAGAAGTAAACTGGATTCCCAGAGCACCTTCATAGCTCAATTCCTGATTGCCAAGAAACTTTCAGTGTGTCCTGTTTTTCTGTGGATTTTTTTAGTTATGAACTTAGTGGTTGTGCAGATAAATACATTGGAGTGAGGTTGTTAGTTGGAAAGCCTTGATTACATGTAGCTTTTAAATTTTCTAGCAAATGCACAATATTGTTTCCTGAACATTCTCAGGATGTTTTGGTAATTCTGAGTTCTTTCTAGTTCACGATTACTGGAAATCTATAACTAGATAAAGCAGGTCAGGAGCATTTAATAATCTGTTTAGCTAGGTCATCTAAAGACCCATGTTAAAACAAGCTGCTGATAGTAATTGCACATACTTGAGTTATTTCACCTATGCTCAATCTTTTTATTGACAGCATTATTGCAAAGCACAAGGAGCTAGAAGGTCTGAGTCAAGCTTCTGCTGAATACCAGGTTCTACAGATTGTTACAACACTGGAGAACTATGGGGTAGAGTGGCACTCGGTGCGAGATAGCGAAGGGCAAAAGCTCCTTATTGGTGTTGGACCTGAAGGCATATGCATCTGTAAAGATGACTTTAGTCCTATCAACAGGTATGTGGTTTGTGGAACCATTTTCATCTTCCATTTTTCAGAAGTACTGAGCATGCCTCTAGTTTTTACATAAATATACGAAACTGCTCTACTGATTGCTAAAAGGAGCTACTGAAATAAAGGGCCTGAGGGGACTATCTGCTTACCAAGATGACAGCTGGTCTCGGAACTCCTGATTTTTGTATGTACTTTTGAGGCAGCATCTTTGATCAGTATTACAGGCAGCAGTTGAAGATCACTGTAACTTCTGATGACAGTGCACTGTAGTAGTTTGTAGAAAATACCCTTATCCTTGAAAGCTAAATAACCTTCCTTATTTTCCTATATTCATTTATAGGATTGCTTATCCTGTTGTTCAAATGGCAACTCAGTCTGGGAAGAATGTATATCTGACTGTTACCAAGGAGTCTGGCAATAGTGTAGTTCTCCTTTTCAAGATGATCAGTACAAGGGCAGCAAGTGGACTTTATAGAGCAATTACAGAGACTCATGCATTTTACAGGTCAGTATTGCCACTAGAGTTAACTGCTGCTGCTCTTCTCCACAGTATCAGAATTAAGTGCTTAAGCAATCAGCAATCTGACTACACTTCAGAAATTCTCTGCAAAATTTCATTGTCTTTGCAGCCTCTACTTTCTTCTTAAGTCCAGAAGCTGAACAGGTTTTTGCTGCTTTCCATTTTTGGGGTGGGAGTACAAGACAAGTAAGCAAAATTTTTCAGTCTACTGCTATGAGTAACAGCACTTTAGAATATAAACTTGCTGTGTCCTTTGATACTTCATAAGCAATACATACATTGTTTTTGTCCCTATGTAAGAGGGAGGATGAGAGAGCAAAGGAGAAAAATAAAGATCCTGTCTTTCAGAATATGTAGGTGTAGCTCATATGCACTTGTACTCCTTGTTTCTCCTTTATTTGGCTCTTCAAGTTGCTAGGAGTTAGATGTATGCCCCTTTCCCATCCTATGTATTTAGGTCTTCCTACAACTCCTCTGTCCTTGCTCACATGTTCAGGATTCTTTTTCATGACAGCTCCTATCTGTTATTATCCTGTTGTTCTTTGAGGTAGCAGTTCTATACTCCTTTGTTGATGGCTCATTTTTTTGAAATACCTTTTCATTCCTACTGTGAGATCCAACACTGATAAGTAGAACTGTCAAAGATACTTAATGTTTTCACTAAATTAACTACCACATACCAGTTTCAATTACTTTGTAGGAGAAGAGTTGGACAGAAAGCAGAGGAAAGTACATACACTAGGCAAGGACCTGTCCAGCTTCTCGAATTCGATCATTTTAATACAGTTACAGCAATTAACATCAACTAGTTGCCTTTCTAACCACTCCAGCTAATCGGCAACTAACCACTGCTTATTTTGTGAGCCTGATATTAAGCATGTCTTGTTCTGCTCTGTAATTACATGCCCTTGCACTGTTGTTTTGCACTGTTCATACTTTTTTCCAGGCAATGAAAGCATTACATAACTTCTTAGACAGTCTTAACTTCTTGATCTTTGTCTCTGCTTGTAACTTCTGCTGTCCTTCACAGCTTCTGATTTAAATTTAAGCACAGTTATAGTTGGACACTAACATTTGGCCATAAGCTTAGATCTTGGTCCTTAGGCCTGGTGAGGCTATATAGTCCTTGTGCTCTGTTTGTGTTTTCTTTCCTATATTTTCTAGAGAAGTGATATGCCTTAATAGGCTTCTGCAGATTTAACTATATCACTGAAATGTGACAAGCATGGTTAGGGCAGCTGAAATACTCAACGGCTTAATTTAATTCTCTATGCTGCACTCATGCTGGTTCCCTTCAGACAATACAATACTAGTATGCAAAGTACTGAGTGGAAATTTGGTTAAAGATGTTACTTGACTATGTGAAGAATTTTTGAGAGCCTGTCTAAAGAAAGATGTGTTATGCGAAAGACTGTAGCTTGAAATTCTTTAATGCAGTGTTTGAAAATTGCCATGTAAAGAGGTGTTGCCAAGATGAACTGTGGATTAGGCAAAGCGTTGGCTGTTCATATTAGCATAATGCCTTAAGTTCCTTCCATAGGCAGACTCCATTTTATCAGACACTTCACATCTTTGAAGATGTAAAAACTGTCACTTCTTCATTTTACACTTTATAAAGTAGAGCTGTCATGCAGGCAACGTTCAGGAGCTTAAATATAATCTCAAAATGTTCTTATTTGCTTTAATTCTAGTGCTGTTTCTTCAGTTTTGGGAACAAATTATTGTAGGGATGGGTTTATTGGTACTAACCAACCATGTTTGCATTTGTCCTGTTGTTTTATAGGTGTGACACTGTCACCAGTGCTGTCATGATGCAGTATAGTCGAGACTTAAAGGGCCACCTAGCTTCTCTATTCCTGAACGAAAACATTAATCTTGGTAAAAAATACGTCTTTGACATTAAAAGAACATCAAAAGAAGTTTATGATTATGCAAGGCGAGCTCTTTATAATGCTGGTATTGTGGATCTTGTTTCAAGAAGTGACCAAACCCCACCAAGTTCTCCCCTTAAGTCCTCGGAAAGCAGCATGAACTGTGACAATTGCGAGGGTCTTAGCTGCCAACAAACAAAAGCTTTGCAAGAGAAGTTGCGGAAGCTGAAGGAGTCTATGCTTTGTATGGTGTGTTGTGAAGAAGAAATAAATTCAACCTTCTGTCCCTGTGGCCACACAGTATGCTGCAAGAGCTGTGCTGCCCAGTTACAGGTAATTGCAGTGCTGTTAAGATGTCACTTCCACCAAATATATGGAAGCTTTGGGTTTCTGTACGCTCGAGTCATGGATTAATATGTTTACGGTGTTCTCTAGTAAAACTTATTTTTAGAACTTTTGCTTGTGGTAAACCTATTCCAAAGAACATTCTGTTTTAGATGTGTTTGAAAGAAAAGTTTTAGCTGTGCTAACTCAACTTATGGCGAGAGTAAGAATTAGCTGCATGTTTCTCGCATCCTTGTTTTAAATACAGAGTTTATGGAAAAGTGTCCTGTTACTGTGTACATGGAGGGAAGTCTCCAGTAAGTGTAGAGACTCAGAATATGAAGTAAACTAATCTGATGTTTTTCCTTTCCAGTCGTGTCCTGTCTGCAGATCTCGTGTAGAGCATGTCCAGCATGTGTACTTGCCAACCCACACCAGTCTTCTCAATCTGACTGTGATATGATCTACATACTCACTTTAAACTCATCATGTACTTTTAAAACTGCACTAATATGAAATGCAACCATTGATTGTGAAGAAGGCAATCACACTGGCACCTATCCACGATCAAAAGCAAAAATACTGCATTTTTTGAACATAAATATTCTTTTTCAGTGTGTCCAAAATTGTTTGGGACATCTTTTGAGAGCAGAAGTGTAATCAATTCATGTTACTTAAAAGGAGAATGATGTGCAAGTTTGTAGCATGGCAGCATTGCTAAAAAGCTAGGTAACCCTGGAGAAACGCAGTGTACACATACTGATACCCAGCGAAAGCAATGCAGCCTTCTGTTTTAAACTCTAAATCCTTTTTAGTACAGTCATTCCATTTTATTTTAATAGTAAGAGTAGCTTTTACAAATATCAGTTTAGTATGGCTCATAGTTTCTGCTTTTAGTAAACTGCTTTAAAGGGGAGAGAGCTTCTTTTAAAAAAAAATCAGTTCTTAAAGTTACAAGGCTTTGTCAAGCAGCTGTGTTTAATTAAATAGAAAGCAATTCTGAGACAAGCTTTGGAAGGGCAGGACAAGTTTGTTAATCTTGAACAGTTGAGGGTGGGTCAGGACAACCTGGTTGGCAGTGTCCTGTGGAAGCAGTTATGGGACTTCATTCACAGCTCTCGGTGGGCAAGGTGCTCCCAGGTTTCCCACATCCAACTTGGCTGGTGGTTGCAGGAGCTGTCAGCTGCCCTTTAAGTTGTTTTATGTTTGGAGACTGATTTTGAACTATTAAACTTGTACCTTTCATTTCTAAAATAAGGGTTGTATAATTTTCAATGCTTTCTTCAGTTAGCATCTTAATTGAGTAGGTCATTTTCTGCTAAAATTTTTGATCTTCCCCCCCCTACTTGGGCATTTTGGGCTCTGGTTTCCTAGTGTATTCTCCAGGGTATGGAGGGAACTAGAGACTCATGTTTGGGTGCAATACTGGCTTAATCAAAGCTAGGAAAGTACACTGTCACTTTACTGAAATTCTCTGACTATACTTTTCATATTGCCTTAATGTAGCAGTAATGTGTGTTTATGCATCTGTTTCTTTGCACAGACATTTTGTCAAATATTAAAACTCTACTTTTTTATGACACATTAGCGTATAAACCTTACTCTAAGAGGGTATTTATTTTTTCACTTTGTAAAGAAAATTTTGTTTCCTCATGAAGCAAGAGCTTTGTCCTATATCGTAGGCAACTTCTGTTTTTTTATATTCAGATTAATAAAGGACTTTAAAAATCTACTTTGTTATTGATAAGACTTTAATTTTGTTCTGAAATTCATCTGAGGTGTTACTGAACTGAAAATACAGTATGAAGCATTTTTGCATTTAGTCTTGAATGTTGTCATGTTTTACGAAGTCATGAAGTTTCCTCAAGTTCAAGTGCAGGAGGAAACCTGACATTGTAAAACTGCCTTTGTTCAGGCTGTGTACTTTAAAACAGCTGCGTACTCCAACTGAATTCCTTCAGAATTAACTTGAACTTTCCTATGGTGAACTGCCAGTGAGATGAGAGATGTGAAAAAATGCAACTTGAGAGTACAGATTTGGAACTTCAGCAGTCCTGTCTAGGAAAGATCTTAATTACAGATCTGCTGGTGTCTTTCTTGACTGAAGCTATTCATATTTACGAAGTTATGACTCTGCTTTCACATTCTTGAAGAGATGGTGCTTGAGCACTTCCAATGTGGTCCTCTGGCTTACCCCCATTGGTAAACTGAAGGATGTAAGACAATGCTGGGATAGACCAAAGCCCTCCAGAATCCATGGTGCTCTATTCTGACAAGTGTGAACTGAAGTCACTTCACTATGATTTTTAAAAATTAATTAATTGCTACTTAAAAGAGATTATTGCACAGTAATATGTGCTTTTGTCAAGACAGTTTATCAGGGTTGGAGCTTGAGCTCCTGCACCTAAAATTACTTTATAGGCTAGCCCTGAAACACTGCTGATCAGGGAAGGGAGGGGTTGGCTGGCAACTAGACAAGGATTTCTGAATACAAGAGCTGTTTGTCTTAATGGCAAATGCTTTAGGCACAAGAGAACTTGCCATTTAAAGATAAAGTTTCATCTCAGCAAGTGTGATGCTACTGAATTCAAAGGTGGTAAAGGTTCTGAAGTAAAGTTGGGTTGTCTTTGTCTGCCATTTACAGGAAGGAATGGGTATGCAAGTGTTTTCAGAGAAGACTATCTGGCTAATGTGCCAGTGTGCAATAGTGCTAAAGCCAGCCCTCCTTGCTTCCCAAGATTACTTTGTTCTGTGATAACAGAATCATGTTAGTAACAGCTTATCCATCATCTTATGGCAGTTAGCTGAAATGGACTGTAAATTAATATAAATAGATGTTAATACAGGCATCTGATTTAAAGTATTCAACAAGATCAAGCTGGCAAGCATTAACTCCAGGTCCTTGCAATTAAATTGACTGTGTAATTAGATGTCCCTAATAAAAATAATCCCAGTAGTTAGAACTCTAATCAAGGAGGGGTTTGACAGGTTACATGGCATAGGTGGAATCTGGGCAAAGTCTTGTGACTTGTGTGAACATCCTCTGCCTAGTCTTGAAAAGCTCTGCAGAGGGCTGGAACTCCAAGAGCCTGGCGAGTACTGGTTGTACCTGAGGCTGTTGGGAGTCCAGTTCTGGGTTGGTGAAGGAGAGCATGGAGCACAAGCAGAGGCCAATGAGCAGGGGTGAGGTCAGTACGCTCCACAACCACTGTGCTTTTAACCTTGTGCTATTCCCTTTTTTTGAGACTGGAGCGCTAGGTGACCTCTTCTGAACATTGATAAAAGCCTCACTTGGTTTATATGTGAGGTCTAATGGGATGCAAATCAATGTAAGAATGGCTTTGATTTGTTCACAGACAGCTTTCTTCAGAAGCATTGTTTGAAATGGAGTTGGCAGTGCTATGCTCGAAAAGTTTTGCTCAACCATCCAAAATTGTTGTGGTATGCATTGCTCAATGTTTGCAGTTCTAGTACATTTTCTTACAAGAAGTGCTGTGCCCAGTCCATGTGAGCTGCCAAGAACTCCAAAGAGTGTGAAAGAAACAATAGGAAAACCTTGGACTCCACATGCCACGGAGCCACGCTGCAGAAGGTTAGGACTTGTTTGCCAAAGCGCTGTTGTTTCTGCTAAGCAGCTGTGTCTGAATGTTGTAATAGGTGGCAGCAGGGAAAAAAACAAAACCTCAAAACAAAAAATCCAAAAAACACAACAGAATAGTTGGTGGGAACAACTGGAGTTTGTGTCCTTCACGCTTCTTCCTCAGGAGCAAGGAGGATCGATCTCCAAGGCTCACTTGGTGCCTGTGACACATTATGTTAGTGGATCTGCATACCAGGCACTTGTAATAAAGTTGGCTCCTGCACTGATACTTGCTACCCAAAGCTAGTACAACTTGACATGAAAACTCACAGAAAATCCAGTTCTCATTTATCTTCAAAGTTGCAACGCAGCTGCTGTAATCCCATCAGATGTGTGCAATGTCATTTTAAAAGGTCATAATCTTAAGTTTCTGTACAGGTACCGAAATGGGAGAAACTCCCCTTCATGGACAGCATGAGTGGCTGGGTAAATTCAAGAGCAGGAGCTCTATTAGTTCCCTGAGCCTCCTGATGGTAGAACAGCATTCAAAAGTGGCTGTGGAGAGAAGGTTGCAAGTAGGAGAGACGTTGTTACTAAAATAATGTTACACATAAGTGTTATTAATAAACAAGACAGGGATTTAGCACTAACCACCTGTGCTTCAAGGGCAGCCCAGCCCTCCACTGGTATCTGCCTGGCTTTCATCCTCCCTTTGCTGCATCAGGACTTATGTTTATGGAGAGCTCAACCTGCAAGGGACTACAAAGGCAGGATGTTGAGATGGTTCAAGTTACAACTATTACAATAGCACAGCTCTGTCTTCCAGTACTCACTTCAAGGTACATATGAATGTTAAAATGCTAAAGGAACTGTAGAATGAAGGCTTCTGTATTCTTAAATTATTTTTATTTTTTTCCCAAGTGCTGTAAAAGCACATACACAGCAGCATTCATTTATTTCAAGATTTATTTCCTTGCTAAATCAGCACTGTTGCATTCCTAACAGAATGCCCTCGGGGGAAAATTCTCATCTGTCAGCCTACACTATTTCACTTCACAGCAGCACACTGGCACGTTGATCAAAGACAGGGAAAAATTACAGCTCAGATTTCCCATATACGGTTTTTAAACAACAATCTTTCCATAGAGCATTAAAATTATGAATTGACAAATCTTAGCTTCAGTAATGCCCGGTCAAACATCCTCTTTAATGTCGCCCCTCTCTTTGCTGAGAGCATGCTGTAGTGCCAGGTAAGTGCTTTGATTTGTCTTTGTGCCCATGGATTCAGCCAGCAGGATCCTGTTAAAACAGAAAGTCGCACCTAACAAATGGGTTTAAAAGTAAGACATTTCAGTAAAATGGGGTTGGGGAGGAGCCCTGAAATTGGGGCAGACTGCCAGAAGAGAGGTGGCCTTCCACAGCAGGGTCTGAGCGCAGCTTTGCTGGAGGAAGCCTGGGCAGGTAGTTCCTGGGCGAGGGGGGTGGTCCTGGTGCAGGGTCTGGGCCTGTGGCTGCCCCTGGGACAAGCGGCCTTGCAAGGAGCACCGCACGCCCTCAGTGAGCGGCTCTGGGTGGAAAGCCTCTGGGAGAGGCAGGACAGGGCTGGGCAGGAGATGAGGCATGCCAGGGCAGGTGAGCTGCTGCCCAGCCTGGGGAAACTCCCACCAGAGCACACTCCTGGTAGGCCTCAGCCAACCCTCCCAGTATGCAGGGTGGCTTCCACTGCCTGCTGGAGCCCCTTGGTTCAACACTTCCTTCAACAGTACTGGCTGGTAAAAGCTACCATAGCTTCTGGGTCTTCTAGCTTCCTGCAAAGGGTAGTGTGTGCTAGGAAGAGGTGCCAGGAGTAACACTTGAGGAAGTGCTATCAGAGCCCCAGCTAAAGAAATCACTGGTTGGTGCAGTAGTGGGAAAACACAGACTGACAACTCTGAAACTGTAGTGGGAATCGTGATTCCTCCCTGTGTGAGAGCGGGATGCGAGGGATCCAGAAGAGTGAATCGGGTGAATTGGTGCTCCCCCATGCTCAGAGACTGAGCAGGGTTCAGCATGACCTCCTTTTCCTGCCAGGGTGGGGGACTTGTGGGGGCTGGCCAGCAGCTAACTTTCATAACACTCATGCATACACCAAGTTCCTGAAAGAAAAAGGTCAAGCAAACAAACCACACCAGCATTTCCAGAGCTTAGTAACAGGTCACTGAGTTCTTGCCAACTAAAATGCAGAATCGTTTTCAGCTGCTTGGAGGCTGAGAGGGGGGGCGAGAAAAAAATCAGTATAAATTAATCTTTCCTCTTACCGCTGGGGTGTGTAAACAGAAATGTTTGCCTATAGCTACCGTTTCAGGGTCGCTTTATGTTTAGTATGGGATGAACTAGGTGTGGGTAAGTGTGAAGGTGTTTGTCATCTCTGTTTTTATCCAGAAGTTGGTGTTTAGCTTCTCTGCTTCTTCAAAGCAAATCAATGCAGGTAATGATAGACAGTAACATGGCAACTTTTTACATAAACAGGCTTGCCCGAGCCAGATCTTCCTCTCTCCTGCCAGAAAGCTGTTTGTCTGAGGAATCCATGCATCTGGCACCAAATTCCAATCATAGCACTACAACTGTGGGAATTACAGAGACATTGGCAGCTTATCTGAAGAGACAGTATTTGTTTTCCTTGTTTAAAACTATAAATAGTCAATAGAGGACTCTCATTTAAACAGTATTGATGATAGAAATAATCCAGGCACAGAAACACAGCCAAAAATTGGACTTCCGCTCCAAAACCAACCCAACTCTTGTTTCAGAAGCTGAAGCTCCAAAAAGGCAATGCAGAAAGCATGTGCCCAGCAGCAGACTAGCCCTGAAGATACACTGACACACCAGGTGTCCATGTTTGACCTTAAAAATATTTGCCTGTGTCATTGTCTGAACTGGAACTTTTAAAAATACTTTCAGCTCTGCTGTGGTTTGAGCAGCTGACTTCCTCCTCTGCCTCTCTGAGACCACAAAGTGAAGCAATACTGAAGTGTCCTGAGAGCACCCTGTCTGGGCGGTGCTCTGACAACATGCGTGTTACTCTAGAAAAGCAGCTGAAGGGCCTTTATGCTTAGTACGCTGAAAGTGGTGCTTTGCCACCTTGTTGTTAGGGTGATCTTGCCCTGGG